AAATAAATAGACAGAGGGGTGGGGCTGGGGAAGGTAGGTGGGAAGGTGATAGATGAGTGTAAGTAGGTAGTGGTGGGAATTGGTCAGTGAGGTGGGAGAAGTGGATAGGTTAGAGAGAAGACAGACAGGTCAAGGAGGTGGGGATGAGAGGGAGGGTTGGTCATGGGATGAGGCTGGGGGTGGGGAGATTTTGAAACTAGTAAAGTCCACAATGGGACCATTGGGTTGTAGGCTCCCAGGGCGGGATATGAGGTGCTGTTCCTCCAGCTTCCGGGTGGCGTTGTTGTGACGCTGGAGGAGGCCCAGGATGGACATGTCGTCCAGGGAGTGGGAGGGGGAGTTAAAATGGTTTGCAACTGGAAGGTGTTGTCGTTTGTCACGAACAAAGCACAGGTGCTGTACAAAGCGGTCTCCGATCCTCTGCTTGGTCTCACCGATGTAGAGGAGGCCACATCGGGAGCAGCGGATGCAGTAGACCACATTAGGGGATGTGCAGGTGAACATCTGTATGATGTGGAAGGTTTGTTTTGTGCCTTGAGTGGAGGTGAGGGGGGAGGTGTAGGGGCAGGTGTAGCACTTCTTGCGGTTGCAGGGAAAGGTGCCAGGGGTGGTAGGGATAGAGGGAGTGTGGAGCAGACGAGGGAATCAGGGAGAGAGCGGCCCCTACGAAAGGCAAATAGGGATGGGGAGGGAAATATACTCTTGGTTGTGGGGTCAGATTGCAGGTGGTGGAGAATAATAAGTTGAATCCGGAGGTTAGTGGGGTGATATGTGAGGACCGGGGGGATTCTGTCTTTGTTTTGTTGCGGGAGGGGCTGAGAGGGCAGAGGTGCGGGAAATACAAGAGGTCCTCGGTTGTGGGTGCACCAAAGGTCTTGACATAATTGACTTTAATCAGAGACAAGTCAGATAAACTTCTGAACTGAATGCAAAAAAATGCTGGAGATCATCGCAGGTCAGGCAGCATCCATGGAGACAAAGCAAGCTAACATTTTGAGTCCAAATGACTGTTCATCAGAGCTGAAGTGAATTGTGGAGGGTGGGGGGCAGCATTTATGCAATAGTGGGTGTGAAGGCGGTGGTTGGAGTGCTGGAGGACAAAGGATGTTGATAGTTCAGATTAAGTGATCGGAGAGAACAATGGTGTGTCTAACTGCTAGACTGGAAAGAACAGACAGTCCCACTCGGGTGGTGGAAGGGGTGAGTGGGTGACAGAATGTAACAAGCAAAGCTAAAACAAAGGTTCACAATTTGAAGGTGTTGAGCTCAACATTGACTCAATATTGAAGGTTGTAAACAGCCTAGTTTGAAAATGTACTCCGTACTCAGCAAAGGCCTCAGCTTTATCCCTCTGTGTCTCCACCTCAACGAATTTCGGGCACGACATCACGCCAAACTCTTTGCCTCCATGCCCATTTCTTTGGACAAGAGTCCTCTCCCAGTCCCACAGACCCCTTTGCCCAACTCCAACACTCTCCCTCTACCTGGACCCCTCCCTCTGGCCTTTTACCTGCACGCGATCTTTTCATTTGAGAACTGTCGACGTGACATTAGTTGCCTCAATTTCACTGCCCCCTCAACAAATCCAACCTATCTCCCTCCGAACTGATTGCACTCTGTGCACTCAGATCTAACCCTGACTTTGTCATCAAGCCTGCCGATAAGGGTGGTGCTGTTGTAGTCTGACGTACTGACCTCTACTTTGCAGAGGCTGAGCGCCAGCTCTAAGATACCTCCTCCTACCTTCCCCTGGACCATGACCCCACCATGGCAAATCAGGCCATTGTATCCACTACGGTTACAGATCTCATTTCATCTCCCCTACTCCACTTCCAAGCTAATAGTCCCCCAACCCCGCACAGCTCGTTTCTACCTCCTTCCAAAAATCCACAAACAGGACTGTCCAAGCAGACCCATTGTTTCAGCCTGCTCGTGCCCCACAGAACTCCTCTCTTCCTACCTTGACTCTGTCTCCTCCCCCCGGTCCAATCCCTACCCACATACATCCATGATTCATCTGACGCCTTACGCCGGTTTCAAAACTTCCAGTTTACCGGCCCCAGCCACCACCTCTTTACCATGGATGTGCAATCCCTTTACAGGTCCATTCCCCACCAGGCGGGTCTTGGGGCTCTCCGCTTCTTCCCGGAGCAAAGACCTGAACCATCCTCACCCAGCACCACCCTCCTCCGCTTGGCTGAGCTTGTCCTCGCCCTCAACAACTGCTCTCATTTTCTACAGGTAAGAGAGGTTGCCGTGGGTGGCCGCATGGGCCCTAGTTATGCCCGTCTCTTCGTGGGGTACGTGGAACATTCCTTGTTCCAGTCCTATTCGGGCCCCCACCCACAACTCTTTCTCCGTTACATCGATGATATCATTGGTGCTCTTGCCCCTCTCGTCTGGAATTGGGAAAACTTCATCAATTTCGCCTCCAATTTCCACCCTGCCCTCACTTTCACCTGGTCTATCTCTGACTCCTCCCTTCCCTTCCTCAACATTTCTCTTTCCATTTCTGAGGATAGACTGGCCACTAATGTCCATTACAAACCCACTGACTCCCACAGCTACCTGGACTATACTCCTCACACCCCACTTCCTGTAAAGACTCCATCCCATTCTGTCAATTTCTCCGTCTCCATCGCATATGTTCAAATGAGGCCAACTTCAACATGGGAGCCTCTGAAATGTCCACCTTCTTCCTCAACCAAGGATTCCCCAGCTCCGTTGTCGACAGGGCCCTCAACCAGGTCCGACCCATCGACCGCACTTCTGCCCTCACCCCTTCTCTTCCCTCCCGCAACAGCAATAGGGTTCCCCTTATCCTCACCTATCATCCCACCAGCATCCACATCCAGAAGATCATCAGATGCCATTTCTGCCACCTCCAGCAAGATGCCACCATCAGACACATATTCCTGTCCCCTCCCTTGTCCGCCTTCCACAGGGATCGTTCCCTCCGGGACACCCTGGTCCTCACTTCCTTCACCCCCAACATCTCCCCACAGCCCTACGGCACCTTCCCCTCTAACTGGCGAAGGTGCAACACCTGCCCATTTACCTCCTCCCTCCCAGTATCTGAGGGCCCAAACATACCTTCCATGTGAAGCAACACTTCACCTGCACATCACAGTATCTAGTCTACTGCATTTGCTGCTCACAATGTGGTCCCCTCTACATTGGGGAAACTAAGCGTAGACTTGGCGACCGCTTCGCAGAACATCTACGTTCTGCTCGCAAAAAAGACCCTGAATTACCTGTTGCCTGCCACTTCAATGCACCACCCTGCTCCCTGGCCAACATCTCTGTCTCTGGCTTGCTACAGTGTTCCAGTGAAGCCCAATGCAAGCTAGAGGAACAACACCTCATTTTCTGCTTGGGGACCCTACAGCCCTCTGGACTCAATATTGAGTTCAGTAATTTTAGGGCCTAAACTCTCGCATGTCCCAGCCCCTCACCCCACACCCCACACACCAGGCCTTGTTACCACATAGCCTGCCATTATACACTCCCTTAACTATTAACATTAACATTAATGTCCCCATTAACAACTGTTCACCCTCCCAGCCTGATCATTAGCAACTCCTTTGTCTCTCCAACTGTCTTTCTCTCTCTTTGGGCTCTATCCTACTGTTTACTCCCTACCCCACCCACCTCCCTATTTTCTGCATATAAACTGACGTCTTCCTAGCCACCATCAGTTCTGAGGAAGGGTCACCGGACCCGAAACGTTAACTCTGTTTTCTCCTTCACAGAGGCTGCCAGACCTGCTGAGCTTTTCCAGCAACTTTGTTTTTGTTAGTTTGAAGATGAGATGTTTAGACAATATTAGCTTGCTTTCTGTTCATGGATGCTGCCTGACCTGCTGTGATTTCCAGCATGTTTTGTTTTCAGTTCAGATTCCAGCATTTTCAGTAATTTGCTCTATCAGCTGAAATGTGATAGTAATAATTTGGCTGGGGAAATAGATACTACTTTCTGCAGCAAAGACAGAATCCCAAAAGCTGATTTTCTGAAGAAGGATCCACACCCAAAACGTCAGCTTTCCTGCTCCTCAGATGCTGCCTGGTGTGCTGTGTTCATCCAGCTCTACATCTTGTCCCAAAAGCTGTGTTGCCTACCTAGTGCAAGGTTAGAGACATTTCTATTGGACTGAAGAGGAACTTGGTGAGGGGTTATCATGGTCCATGTAGGCACTACAACGTAGGTGAGACTAACAAAAAGCATCTTCTGAGGGATTCCGAGCAGCTCGGGGCTAAATCAAAAAGCAGAACCTCTTAGGTGGTGATTTCAGGCTTACTGCCTGAGCCACATACAAATTAGCATAAGGTAAAATAAAATTAGAGAGATAAGTGCATGGTTCAAAGATTGTGGGTGAAAAGGGTTCAGATTAATTAGGTGCTAGCCCCAGAAATGGAGAAAGAGAACGGTTTTGTTGGGATGGGTTTCATTTGAGTTTGTCCAGTGATTTATTTTTTGTTTTTGATCTCTAACACCTGCAGTTCTTTGTTTTATATTACCAAAATGTTGCTTTGGCAAGCCTCTACTTTAGGCCAATTTTACATCTTAAATGCCTAGTCATGCACTGTGGTGTTCTAGAAGTATTAATTATGCTTCTGTTATGAAGATGGTTGTAAATATAATTTGCATAATTTTAAATGTTGATCCATTTTTCTCTGGCTGGTTTAGTTTTTGAAATTGTGTAAGTTGTGGTCAAATATTGTTTGTTTTCAAATCAAACGGTTTTTGATTTTAACTCATCTGATGCCTTTTTTAACTATATAGTTATGGTGAAGCTTTGTATTTTTTCACTAAAATTATTTTTCTTCATTTTTTCAAAAGATCTTTCTTTCAAATGAAATTGATTTATTTTTCTGTATATTTCGGGGATTGGCTGTGGATTAGGAGCAGTTATGAAAGACTCTGTACATTATAGTCTACTGGGAGGTTTCAGTGTTGAATGATTTTGAAAACACCTTGTAACTTTGTATTTCCCCAATTAGTGACATAGCTGGAATGCTACTAAACTCCACTGGAGAGTTCTTAGATTCTGGACTTCAGGAAAGTTGTGATGAATTTTGGGCAAGCGCTGATGATAATACTGCATCAGATGAAATCAGGTACTTGTACCGGGCCTTTAACTACTACCCAAACATGATCAGTGTTGTGATTTATACAAGTAGGTCAGTTCTTTTATCAGAATTTATTTGAGGAGTTACCTTGAGTTTTCAAATTGAATTTGAATGTGACTTACATTACTGTACTAGAATAATAATGAGCGAATGGAATTCACTATGTTCTTGTTTTGTAGCCATTTTCACTAAAGTCAGATGAGGTACCAATATTTAAAAAGCCACCAGATCAGAATCGGGGAGGAGGGAATAAAGATAGACTGGCACAGAGAAAGGGGATGCTTTAACTGATGCTGCTGTGTAAACTGAGCCAGAGTAGGGTATTCTGACTGCACTTTCTGTAATACTTCTAATCAGCTTGATCAGAGATTTTATTGCATACCTCTGATTGTAAAGTTGGGCTTCCGGGCCAACTTTCTGTGATATTTTAACTTGCATCACCTTGAGTCAGCAAACTATTGTAGATATTTTCTACTCAATCTGTTCCGAAATGTTATTACAAGCTCTACACCAGGTAGGACTTTAACTCGGGCCTTCTGTCTCAGAGATATAGTTGTCACCACTGTGTCACAAGAACGTCTGCACTATCATTATTACACAGATGCGTTTTGTTAGTGACAGTATTTAGATTGACTTCACAGTTTTACATTTCCTGAACTTCCTCTTCAGTTTGGGATTTCTGCAAGGCTAGAGAATGATTAATTTAACCTTGAAATGCTTTTTGTTCCAAAACAAGTTTTTTTTTTTTCCTGCTTTTCCTTCAAAAGTTCCCCTTAAACACAGTTTTATGATCTTGCTTGATGACACCCAATAGAGAAGTATCTTAAAAATAATTATATTTAAATTTAGAAAATATCTAACAATAATATCTAATCAACTTGTTCAGAGATATTATTACATACCTCATGGAGTAAGTGGGACTTTAGTCCAGCCTTTTAGTCTGGAGACAGGGACACTACTACTGCACCACAAGAGCCCCTGGGATATAAAGTTAGACTGAGCTTTTAAGAATTATTTGAAAGGATTCATTAACTGTCATTTGCTGTGGGTGTGAGCTGCACTTCACTTGTACTGCTCACATCTGTCATTCAGACCCCTGAGATTACCATTGCAGTGCAGGACTAGGGTTGTACTGTCATAGCTATTACCTTTTGGATTTTAAAAAACGTGGAAGTAGTAGTAAATATCTGAAGAAAGACCTGGGAGTTCTCCCCAGTGTAATGATTAATGCTCATATTTTTAAAAATGACATTATCAAACCTTTTTGTCTTTTAATCATGAAAATTTGCAAGACTACCAATTTAGGGGAAATCCAACCTTTATTTGCATAGTGCTGATTTAGTTTTACAGGTGGACTGTGATAGAAGCATTATCAAGGGGAACGCATCCATTTATGCTAATTCACAGTTAGCAAGGCTTGTTTAAATTTAAACCAAGCAGGTTGATTATAATTGGTCAGGACATTGCTCTGAGAAATGATCCAGGGTATAGCTATCATCTTTTTCGGTTAAAAAGAGTGTAGTGGGTGTACATTCTTTCTGCCTACAAAGAAAAGGGTTTTGTGTATTAATATGTGTAGCTTATATGCCTTACTGCATGGCTAACTAATAGTCCTAAATTGATTGTCACCGTAATTCTTTGTGCAAGAAATGGTGCTTGCTAAACATGACTTATTGCACTGATACATCCACCGAGAAATCCTAAAGTTTTTTAAAAAAACAGAAGGAACATAACCAGCAGCTATCATTTTTGGGCATTCCGTGAACTGAAACGCAGATTATATAGGAATTAGGATGTGTTGTGTTATCATTAGACCTCACTAATTGTGGTGCTGCATCAAGTTGCTTTACTCATTTCCTTTTTTTCCCTCATAGGTGTTTGGAATTTCCCCCACACCTTTCTTCTCTGTGGCCTAATCTAATTTGAAATAATTTTTGACTTAATTTGTCGACCATTGTTTTTGGAAGTGTCCAGTTTTGTGCTGCCATTTGCAGTTCATATAGCTGGACTGACAAACTCTGCATTCCCAATGATCATTTTTCCTGTTCTGTTGGATTGCTGGATGACTCAAAGAAATGAAACCAGACAAGTCCTGTCCTGAAAAATTTGTCATCTTGTGCTTAATTATTGTAAATTTAGAGGGAGAACAGATTCTTCTTAGGATTGAGCTCAGAAAGTGGAGGAAGAAAGATGAAAAGTTAATGTAAATTTGTAATGTAGCTAGGCTGCATAATTTTTTTGTATATTCAAGCAATTGAAGAATGTAACGCAGTTATATTTGTAATTTCAAAGGAACATAATTAGCTTAAGCATTTTGGGACTTTCTGATGTTACTACATAATTTTTTTCCCTTTGATGTGGAGAGTGGGAAATTGATATTATGGTTCCCTTTCCTCTCCTACTGATTTTGTGTGCAACCGTTTGCAAATTGGTAATTTTTCTTTTCATATATCATTGTCTTTACAGAAGGTCTGTTATAGAGACCAGTCGTGCATTAAAAGAGCTGTTTCATGAAGCTCGGGAGAGAGCATCCAAAGCTCTAGGATTTGCTAAAATGCTAAGAAAGGTAATATACGTGTGTGTGTGTGTGTGTGTGTGTGTGTGTGTGTGGTAAAATATTGTTTTTTTTTGTAGAAAAAGTAGGAATTGTGCCAAAAATAACACTCCATTTTTCTTTTATTTAGGATCTTGAAATAGCAGCTGAATTTACTTTGTCAGCTCCTGTGTCAGAAGTTTTAGAAGCTCTTAAAAGAAAAAAATATGTCCAGGTATTATTTTTATTTTGAATGTTATCTGTCAATTTCTATATTGAAACTGTGAGATGCATTTACAGTCCTGGAGCATTAACTTAAGGTGGTATTTTGTATCAAACTAAAGAGGAAGAGATTCTTGGTTTCCCGCATTTAGCTGAGATATCAAAAACTTAAACTCAAACTGCCTTGGTTTTAATGTTGTCAATCCAGTGAAGTATTTGATTATCCAGTATTTGTTTACGGTATAGTTAATGAAGCCAAGGTTGGTTTTGTTATAATTTCAAGGTTTTATATTCCTGTTTGATCATGCTAGTTATTTGTTGAACAATTTGAAAAATAATTTTGACACTTGAATTACCTGCAATCGTTTAAATTGTAGTATTCAAAGAAGAGAATATGGGAAAAATTGTGGCTGTAAGAACTGTTCCTTTTTGTTTGAGGTATTTTCAGTGTTGGAATTGATTTTCTGAAATTCTAAGAGCAGTAATTACTGTTTTATAAGCTGTTGCATTGTTTGAGAACTTTGGGGGGGGGGAAGAAAAATCAAAACAATGGCACTTTAAAAAGGAGGAAGAGAATAACTGAGTATCTAGTTTTAAAGTGTGACCTTATTTGCTTTTTGTAAATCTACAATAGTGAGTAGAGTGGATTTTTTTTGTGTTTTTGAGATCTGCCTCTTGCTTTAAATTTTAAAAGTATGAAACTTGCGTGCTAAATTAGCCTGCAACAATGCTCTTAGAGCAGTAAGACTGCAATGTACTGGGTCTGTACATTGTTAAGGTGCAAAGATGGCCTTTAGTAGAGTGATGTGCTCTTCCTGTCAGATGTGGGAAATGAGGGAATGTTTCCATGTTACTGGTGATTATGTCTGCAGGAAGCATGTTTGTTTGATTGGGAATCCTATTGGATTGCATGGATTGGATGGAGCAACAATGAGAAGCATTGAGGAATTTACAGGAGCTAGGGGTGTGATGGATGGTAGTTGCAGGAAGGGAGAAAAACTATAGATACAGTCAGGTAGATGGATTACCTCCACGAAAGGTAGGAGAGGAAGGCAAGTAGTGCAGGAGTTTCCTGTGGCTGTTTTGGAAAATGTAGGGGATGATGGACTCTCAGGGGAATTTTTTTTTTCTTCATTCGTTCACAAGATGAGGGCGTCCCTGGCTAGGCAGCATTTATTGCCCATCCCTAATTGCCCAGAGGGCAGTTGAGAGTCAACCACATTTGCTGTGGGTCTGGGGTCACGTGTATGCCAGACCAGGTAAGGATGGCAGTTTCCTTCCCTAAAGGACATCAGTGAACCAGATGGATTTTTCCTACAATCGACAATGGGTTCACAGTCATCATTAGATCCTTAATTCCAGATATTTAATTGAATTCAAATTCCACCATTTGCCGTGGCGAGATTCGAACCTGGGTCCCCAGAACATTATCTGGGTCTCTGGATTAATGGCCTAGTGGTATTATCACTGGACTATCGCCTCCCAATGTAACATTGACAGCCAGGTTTCTGGTACTGAGACTGGCTATAATGTAATGTGGGGTACATCAGCTTCCAAGCAATTGATTGTGAAAGGGGGCTATCTAATCAGAGGCAGGGCTGGGATATCATAGCAATTACAGAAACATGGCTCAGGGATGGACAGGACTGGCAGCTTAATGTTCCAGGGTATAGATGCCATTGGAAGGATGGGGGGTTGGGGGGCACAAGGGAGGAAGTGGAGTGACATTTTTGATTAGTGAGAACATTACGGCTGTACTCAGGGAGGATGTTCCTGAGAAGTTATTTGGGTGGAACTGAGAAATAAGAAAATGATGATCACCTTATTGGGATTGTACTATAGACCCCTCAATAGTAGGCAGGAAATTCAGAAACAAATTTGCAAGGAAATCTCAGTTATCTGTAAGAATAAAGGGGTGGTTATGGTAAGGTATTTTAACTTTTTTCTAACATAGACTGGGACTCCCATAATCTTTAGGGCTTGGATGGAGGGGAGTTTAAGTGTGTACAAGAATATTTTCTGATTCAGTATGTGGATGTACTTACTGGAGAAGTAGCAAAACTAGACCAACTCTTGAGAAATAAGGGAGGGCAGGTGTCTGAAGTATCACTGGGGAAGCAGTTTGGGGCCAATGACCATTATTAGTTTTAAAATAGTAATGGAAAAGGATAGACTGGATGTAAAAGTTAAAGTTCTAAATTGGAGGAAGGCCAATTTTGACAGTATTAGGCAAGAACTTTCAAAAGTTGATTGGAAGCGGATGTTCGCAGGTAAAGGGATGACTGGAAAATGGGAAGCCTTCAAAAATGAGTTAACAAGACTCCAGAGACAGTGTGGTCCTGTGAGGGTGAAGTGCAAGTCTGGCAGGTGTAGAAAATGCTGGATGACTAGAGAAATTGAGGTTTTGGTCAAGAAAAAGAAGGAAATATATGTCAGGTATAGACATCGAAGATTGAGTGAGTCCCAAAAGAATATGAAATGCAATAGGAGTATACTTCGAACACAGAACAGTATAGCACAACACAGGCCCTTTGGCCCACAATGTTGTGCTGACCTATTATCCTACTCTAAGATCAAACTAACCTGCATACCCTTCATTTTACTTTTTACTATCATCCATGTGCCTATCCAAAAGTTGCTTAAATGTCCCTACTGTATCTGACTGTACCACCACCGCTGGCAGTGCATGTCATGCACCCACCACTCTGTGTAAAGAACCTACCTCTGACATCTCCCCTATACCTTCCTCCAATCACCTTAAAATTATGCCCCCTCGTGGTAGTCATTTCTGCCCTGGGAAAAAGTCTCTGGCTATCCACTCTGTCTATGCCTCCCATCATCATGTACGCCTCTATCAAGTCGCCTCTCATCCTTCTTCGCTCTAATGAGAAAGCTCCCTCAACCTTTCCTCATAAGATCTGCTCTCCAATCCAGGCAGCATCCTGGTAAATCTCCTCTGCACCCTCTCTAAAACTTCCACATCCTTCCTATAACAGGTCTAACCAGAGTTTTATAGAGCTGCAACATAACCTCACGACTGTTAAACTTAATCCCTCTGCCAACAAAAGCCAACATGCCATATGCCTTCTTAACAGCCCTATCAACTTGGGTAGCAACTTTGAGGGATCTATGGATGTGGACCCCAAGATCCCTCTGTTCTTCCACACCGCCAAGAATCCTGCCATTAACCCTGTATTCTAATTTCAAATTCAACCTTCCAAAATGAATCGCTTCACACTTTTCTGGGTTGAATTCCATCTGCCACTTCTTTGCCCAGCTCTGCATCCTGTCAATGTTTCATTGTAATCTACAACAGCACCCCCACACTTTCCACAACTCCACCAACCTTTGTGTCATCGGCAAACTTATAACCCACCCCTCCACTTCCTCATCCAAGTCATTTATTAAGATCACAAAGAGCAGAGGTCCCAGAACAGATCCCAGCGGAACACAACTGGTCACCAAGCTCAAGGCTGAATACTTTCCATCTACTACCACCCTCTTTCTTCTTTTGGACAGTCAATTCTATATCCAGACAGCCAAATTTCCCTGAATCCCATGCCTCCTTACTTTCTGAATGAGCCTATCATGGGGAACCCTATCAAGTGCCTTGATAAAATCCATATACACCACATCCACTGCTCTACCTTCATCAATGTATTTTGTCATATCCTCAAAGAATTCAGTAAGGCTTGTGAGGCATGACCTGTCCCCCTCAAAGCTGTGCTGACTATTTCTAATCAAACTGTGCTTTTCCAAATAATCATGAATAATTCTCTCGGAATCCTCTCCAATAATTTGCCCACCACATAAATAAGACTGACTGACTGGTCTGTAATTCCCAGGATTATCCCTATTCCCTTTCTTGAACAAGGGAATAACATTTGCCACCCTCCAGTCATCTGGTACTACTCCAATGGACAGTGAGGACATAAAGATCATCACTAAAGGCGCAGCAGTCTCTTCCCTCGGTTCCCGTAGTAATCTTGGGTATATTGTGTCTGGCCCAGGGGACTTATCTATCCTTATGTTTTTCAAAATTTCTAGCACGCCCTCCTTCCTAACATCAACCTGTTCAAGCATATCAGCTTGTTTCACGCTGTCCTCACAAACGTTAAGGTCCCTCTCACTGGTGAATACTGAAGCAACGCATTCATTAAGGACCTTCCCTACCTTCTCCGACTCCAGGCACAAGTTCCCTCCACTATCCCTGATTGGCCCTACCCTCACTCTGGCCATCCTCTTGTTCCTGTCATAATTATAGAACGCCTTGGGGTTTTCCTTAATGCTACCTGCCAAGGCTTTTTCATGCCCTCTTCTAGCTGTCCTAAGGCCATTCTTTAGTTCCTTCCTATCTACTTTGTAACCCTTTAGAGCCCTGTCCAATCCTTGCTTCCTCGACCTTAAGTAAGCTTCCTTCTTCCTCTTGACTAGACGTTCCACGTGTCTTGTCATACAAGGTTCTGTCACCTTACCATGCCTTCCTTGCTTCAGTGGAACAAACCTATCCAGCACTCGTAGCAAGTACTCCCTAAACAACCTCCACATTTCTGTTGTGCATTTCCCTGAGAACATCTGTTCCCAATTTATACTCCACAGTTCCGGCCTAATAGCATGGTAATTCCCCCTGTCCCAATTAAATACTTTCCCATACCGTCTGCTCCTATCCCTCTCCATGACTGTAGTAAAGGTCAGGGAGTTGTGATCACTAAAACCGAAATGCTCTTCCACCGAGAGATCTGACACTTGGCCTGGTTCATTGCCAAGTGCCAAATCCAATATGACCTCCCCTCTAGTCGTCCTAGCTACGTATTGAGTCAGAAATCCTTCCTGGACACGTGACAAAATCTGCTCCATCCAAACTATTTGCACTTCGGAGGTTCCAGTCGATATTAGGGAAGTTGAAGTCACCCATGACAACAATACTATTCCTTCTGCACCTTTCCAAAATCTGCCTGTCCATGTGTTCCATCAGTGTCTTTGTTGCTATGGGGTGGGAGAGTGGTCTGTAGA